CTGAGCAGACAAACAGCTGATCAGCTGTTTGTCGGCTCAGCGCAGCAGCCATGTAAATGTAAATGAAGCAGCGATCATTTAAATCACGGCTTCATTTCCCTTTGCCAAACAAACAAATCTACATGGCTCCATCGACGGAGCCATGTAGTTTAGATGTACCCTAAGAGCGGATCTAAAGCAGGGGCCCTGGACATTTGTGGAAGAGACCATGGCACAAGAGAAAGGGCGTTAATCCTGGTGCCAAGGTAATTTTATCCCATCTAACTCCAACTTCCTCTGCCTTTTCAGCTGTGGTGAAGTTATTCTTCATTTCCTGTCCTAGAATTCTTCACTTCCCCTCCTAGAAGCACTGTTGTATTTTTTGGTATGATATTAAACAGCTGCTGGATTCCACCCTAGAAGTGGCTACCTTCCAGTGGCAGGTGAAGAATCAGGCTTTCCTGGGTAGACTGAGAAGTGCATTGGAATGAGAGACTCTACAGAGGTCTAAATCCCCCATTAGAGCACCTGCCGACAGGTTGAGATGCCCAAGACAAGCTTGCAGAGATGAACAGGTATGGCAAGGAGCATCCAAAACTGATGCCACTGTCAGTCTGCATTCCTGGTGACAACACCCTCTCAGGTTGTCCTGTCTTTGGGAGATGGCACAGTTTGTGCAGGCGTGTCCCCTAAAGGCACAGAGGCACTCCCATGGGCACCCTAAGGTGCTAGCGGACCCAGTGCTTGGCCCGGAGACAGAAACACTCGTCACAACCACTTGTACTCAAAGACGACATACTCCCTCCACCCCTTTTCAGGGGCAGAGCTCCCAGTTTTTCCCAGACAGATCCTACCTGTGAGGATGGAGACACTGTGGAAGCAGCTGTCCAGCTTGCCCAGGAGGATAGAGAGAAAACTGTCAGCAGCCAAGCCGCTCACGTCCCGTGTGCTCTGGTCATAGACCACCACGTCCTGGTGCTCTTCCGCCTCCACCTGAGGGGGGGGAACCACCACAAGAGACCATTACAGCATGCCGGGGACAGGTAGCCGAGGGCCCAGTGAATGGAACACGGGAAGTTCGGTGGCTCTGTGTCACCAAGGCTTTTCTGCTTCAGTGTTGGAGAAGAGAACCCAGCCTGAGGAAGGACAGAATGAATCCTCTTGCTCCCCACACCCCAGGAGACAACAGTCCCTCCAGATGAGAGCTGGAGCAAGGAAGAAGCAGGGGAGTTGGAAAGGGAGGGAGGGAGAAGGGGAGCTGTCCACAGGAAATGTTACAGCACTGACTAACTTTGCTCCTTTACATTGAAGGTGCACGGAGACTTGGCTCTTCAATGCACATGTGAGGAGGACGACCCTGCCAGAACAGCTCTGGAGTCTACGGGTAGAAACCGTGAGCTGAACGGACATGGAGCTCCCCAGAAGAAAATGGTTCCTGTAGGTCAGGTCTCGGGATCTAGGAAAAGACCTGTGCTGAATAGACCTGGAGAGGGAAGCCTCCAGGCTCTACATGAAGCAGAGGAATCAGACGACAATTACATTTACCTCAGTGCTGGTCCTGCCTTCTCAGCCCGTGCAGGACTCTGCCCTATCCTGTTCTGAGCATCCCAAATGAGGCAGCTTTGCTCCCCACACCTCAGGCTTGCAGCTCTTACAGACAGGAAGGGTGGGGCTCCTATGCACTCCACATTGGCCTAACTTCGCTCCCAGCGATGTCACAGAGGGTATGTCTACACTACCCTCCTAGTTCGAACTAGGAGGGTAATGTAGGCATACCGCACTTGCAAATGAAGCCCGGGATTTGAATTTCCTGGGCTTCATTTGCATAAGCGGAGAGACGCCATTTTTAAAACCCCACGAGGTTTGCCGGTAGTTCGGAATAGGAAGCCTAGTCCGAACTACCTAGTTCGAGCCCCGTGTAGCCGCGCTGCACGGGGTTCGAACCAGCGGGGTTTTAAAAATGGCGGCTCCCCGCTTATGCAAATGAAGCCCGGGAAATTCAAATCCCGGGCTTCATTTGCAAGTGCGGTATGCCTACATTACCCCGCTAGTTCGAACTAGCGGGGTAGTGTAGACATACCCAGAGTGTTTCGCCCTGGATTCCAGTGGGAGCAAGCAGGCTTATGGTCAGCACTTCTGAAAATCCCACCTTTTAGCCCCCTCTCTCCCCACCCAATGCCCAGCTTAAATGTTCCACTGCTTAACTTCATCCCGATCCTCCCAGTGACACCCACACACAAACCATTCCTCCCCTGCTTGGGGAGACCCAGGACAAAAAGCAGCATGGCCCAGTGGCTACAGCACTAGCCTGGGATTCAGAAGCTCTACCCTCTATCCCTGCCTTTGTTACTGACCAACTGTCTGGCCTCAGATACGTCATTTTATTTCTGCCACCTGGGGCAAACTGGTTCCCTTCCCATCCTTTGTCTTACTCATTTCGACTTTAGACTCATCGGAGCAGGGTCTCTCTCACTCATGCACATAACAGCACCTAGCATGATGGGACTCCCGCGCCGGTGTTACCACAACACAAATCTATTGTCATTTGCTCTCACCATCTCCTCTGTTAGGAGAGCTTTACCAAGCCAAAGCCCCCGGCAGACCTAGTGTAGCCCTAGCACTAGAAGCCGTGGCAATAGCCCCATGCCAGCTGTTTGCCCTGTGGGCTTCCCCTAGGCATTCCTAACAGGGGCCTCACACAGCAGAGACCGGGATGGGGGCTGGAGAAGATCTAGTTTAGACTGAACCTCCCACACACCTTTCTGTGCAGTGTACAGCCCCAGCTGCTGTTCCCGCATCCTCCAGGAACCCACCCCAAGACTTGGCAAATTTAAGCACACCCATGAGGCATGCCAGCTTTCAGGGCTTACCCTGGATTACTGGACCCATCCCCAGTTCTTGGGGGAGGGGGGGTGTCAAAGGATGAGAGAGGAAGAGATCGCTCTCTGATGGGGGGGGGGGGGGAAAGCACCACAAAACCTCTTGTCAATGACAAGATTACAGAGCGTGAGGCATGGCCAGGGGCTGCCACGTCTAATGAAAAGTTAACACGTTAGAGGCTGATAAAATCCTCACCGTGCCACGGCTTGGTGCCCCTGCTGAGTAGGCTGATACGTGACATACGCCGCCCGCTCTTTGGGGCGAGGCACATGTATCATTCTGCGGTTGGTGGAGGCAGCAGCTGTGAAGCAGAGCCAGCACGAACCCAGCCAGCAGGATTTGGGGGGAATGGAGTGCAGGGAATACACAGCTCCTTGCATTACATCCCGAACAGCAGGATAGTACAGATTTCTCAGTCCATGTAGTAAGCTTGCTCTTCTCGGCGATGCGGGCTTTTATTTGTGCTGGTGCTCTCAGTTCTCCGGATATGGAGAGCTAGGGCTCCCACTCACCTGCTGAAATCCAGTTTTGAGGTAAGTGGAAGGTTGGGGGTTGGCTACTGTGCCACACCCCAATCCCTTCAGAGCTCTGAGTTGGCAGAGACTGCCACAGAATGACACGCTTGCCAGAAGTCCCTGGCCACCAGCACGGCTTGACAGCCTATGGGATCTCCCAGAATATAAACCTTTCCCTGGCCTGCAAGGCACTTGCTGCTCCTTCTCAAGCTTCAGCTGTAGGAGACATTGTTGATCTTGCCCCCACACCGCCCATCACCCCTCCGTCCCCATCAGCCACTTGGGCAGAAAGCAGAGCCTGGCGGTACTAGCTCTTGCAGTGACTTCTGCAGTCCTGTCTCCCACTCCTTGTGCCTTTGGTGCCAAACGACCACTGCCCTCAAAATGAGCGTTGCCAGGCATAGACCAACTCAGCACCTTCCCTGTCACGGTACCTGGAACCCTTCTCACCCTAAACTGCTGTGCCAACTCGCCTGGGCATAACAAAGCCCTCAGACCCATCCCTTCTCCCCAAACCCAACTCCTTCACCTCGGGTCTGCAGTACAGGGAACTGAATACTGCTGCTCTCCAGTGTCCTGAACAGCAAAAGGGATCCATCCACTGCCAGGCTCCAGGCTTGCAAGAACACATGAGGTGGGAGGTCTCCAGAAACCAGCACATGAATTTAGGTAGGACAGGTGGTTCCCTGGACCAGGCAAAAGAACTATCAAGACTAAGCAGGCCATTGGGGAACATCACAACAAAAAAGCTGGTTTAACTGCCCTCTTACACCTATGAAGGTGCTATGTGTGGGAAAGCACATCCCATCAGCCTTAATTCTGGAAGTGGGAAATAAAGATAGATGAATGATTTTCATGGCTGCTTTTTTCCTGTTTGGAATGGACTTACAAACACTGCAGCTAAAATACAGATCGCCAGACATTCAGGGCTGACTGATTTACTACGTCTGTCACTTTTTGGAATCACAGACTGAACTCTTGAGTAAATATGTTGCCTGCTTTAACCTGTAATTAACTCTCATTTCTTTTCCCTAGTTCATAAATCCCTAGTGAGTTTACTAGAAAGTTGGCTTACTATGAGATCTAAGGCACAAACAGATCTAAGCGACTCGTCTCTTAGAGAGGAGCAACCTGAATAGTTTGTGATTTTGGGTCTCTGTGACTATTCATCACTACATCCAGCTTGGGCTCTCCGGTCTATCTGTGATTCTGTTGCAGTGATCCAGGAATTCACATTTGATACTGGGTTGGTGAACTCTAATTATAGAATTTATCACCAATTTAGATACTCTTGGGCATGAACCACTCCAGACAATGTGACAGCCTGAACTGCGTTATGAACTGGAAGAAGAAACTGCCTTAGCTTTGGCCCAGGGAAGTCAGCACAGAGAAATGCAGCTGGGCTGGAGCGGCCCCCTGCTGGGTAGCCATTCACATCCCTAATTTCAAGGATTTACACTACACGGATTTGCACTAACAAAGGATGTGGACCAGGATTTTTTTTTTTAAATTAACTGTATCTCTTTGGCAGCTCCGTTGAATAACCCAAATCCAAACAGAGCCCAAGCATGGCTAAGCCCCTTGCCGGGCTGAGACAATAACATCCTCTAAACTCCTTCAGGAACGGTTTGAAGGGAGAACTTCCAGCCTCAGGAATACTCCGTGCTCTCTGCAGTGTCTCTCATCTGTGACGCTCAAGACAATGGAGAAATGCTAATTAAGCCTCGTAACATCCAGCTCAGGTGGGAAGTACTGTCCCATTTCAGAGATGGGAAAACAAAGGCCAAGAGAGGCGAAGGGACTTCTAAATGTCATGCTGCAGATACAGGGGAGCGCCAGGGATTAGACCCTCAGGCACCCCACTTTTAGGTCCTACTTCAGACTTGCAGGCCACCCACCTTCCCTAGCTGTTGGACAGCATATCCAGTGGTGGTAGAAGGGAACGACGGCTTCATAGTCACAGTGGACTGGGAGTCATGAGATGTGGGTTCAGTTCATCTCCAGCTCAGTCAGACTCAGTGTGATGCTGGGCAAACATCTCAGTTCCCGTCCCCGTGCTTTAGTTTCCCCAGCTGTAAAAGGGGAAACTGCCTTGTCTATTTAGACTGCAAGGAGAGGCTGGAATGGTTTCTTGCTCACTTTCTGTACAGCACCTAACACAACGGGCCCCAATCTGAGAAGATCTCATGCTGCCCCTATAACTCTAAACAGCAAAGTTACAACCCACGCTGGTGCAACCTCCTGTTCAGATCCTGGTCAACGCCTAGTGCTCAATCACGCAGGGAGGAGAATAAAATATTTGGAGGGGAGAAGGGGCAAACAAAACCAGTGCATGGGACAACACGGCTGCTCGGCTTTGCACCCATTTCCTCTCCCCCCACCCCCGCATCGCAAACGGGCACGAAGTGTCATCTACTCCCAAGGAAGCCAACAGCCCTGATCTTGTCAGGAACCCATCACTGCTCCACAACATGGCATTGGAATGTGTCTCTTCGATAGGGGAGGACACATCCATCAGAGACCAGCTACCTCGGCCTCAGAGACCAGGGTGCCCACTCAAGTGCAGGCAGCCCCCCCGGGGAGATAACCGCTTGCCAGCCAAATGATCCCACAATAGGATTTAGTGTTCCTTCGCACCGGGAGGCTTTGTTTTGCCCATTGCTGAAGGGTTGCTGGGCAACGGTAGATAGATGTGACACGGTTTACAGCTTATTAAAATTATAAGCTTTCAGGCAATATAAATGCCAAACAAGCCCTGGCCTCACATGGCCTAGCTGCAATAAACACACACTGCATCTGCAGGGGGGGTGGGGGGGAGAGAGTTTGGAAACAGGCTGACAGGAGGGCCGGCTTACTTAAATGCATTAAAACTTCCTTCTGCCATTCTCCTCTGGAACAAACAACAAGGGACAAATTCACCCCCAGCTGGTGCTTTGTAGGAACAGAGGCAGACCGTTTGGGCCTGCCCTGACCAGCAGCTGCAGGCTCCAGTAAGCAGGCCTCACTGCTGCCTAGATTACCTGACCAAAAGGGCTTTGTGGGGTTATAAAGCTGGTAGGATCCACCTCAGCCGTTCTTCTGTCCCCAGCGCCTGAGACTGTGGGCAAAGGGACAGGGCTGGACTGATAGATAAAGCTGGGTCATGCTGCTGAAATTGGAATGTCTCTCATGACACTGCTGTGGGGAAGCTCACAACGTGGGCAGAACCTCTCCGAGCAACGTGCGAAAAGGAAGAAAGCACGGCTGGAACCTCCTTTGCAAGCATCCAGCAGAGAATCACTGGGTTCCTGGCTGAAGAGGCTGGTAGAGGTGACACGGAAGAGCCCTAGGAGATTACCTTGACCATCCCTAGAAATGAGTACTATCTACAGTAGAACACACTCCTGACACTCTGTGGCAGGCTTTGGGCCTAACCGTACAGAGGAGAAAGTTGATAGGTGTCGAAGCCAAGGTCAGTGACTACATGGATACTATTTCAGCAAGCGTAAGCCTGGAGAACACTCTACAAGAGAGTTAGAGAGGGGGACTCCTCCCAACACACTCTCCTGGGAAAGCTGCAGCTGCCAGGAAGGTGACCCAGTGCTGTAGAGATGTCAGTGAGCATGGGGCTAATTAATCAGTTTGTGCTAAATGATACCCCTTGCTCTCCCAAGGGCCAAGCCTCACCCGATAGGGTCCTGACTGCCTGATGTCATAATCCAAACGAAGGACGCTCTACCCGCAGGATTCTGAAGTGCCTATCACTGTGGCAATCCGCTACCAGAAAGTGTCCCATCTGATACCGCGGCAGGGGTGATCATGCCCCATGTCTTCCCACAGTAAATCTGGATGTACAAGGGCTAGCGCCAGCTTGCAAAACAAGATAAGCCACTTCAAACTTTCCCACATCTCAACTGCTGACTCCCACAGGCACTTCTCCATGCCTAGAGGCACACGTGACCCCCTCTGGTCACC